AAGGGAGTACGTGATCCTCCCGGTCACGTGAGGGTGACCAACAATTGAATAAACTCATGACCCTTGAATAAAAAAACATGGTGATTATTGCAGACACTCATAACAATGAGGGCACATTAAGTGGTTACACAAAAACAGTTCGTCAACAAGTGCAAAAAAACACATTTGCAGATAGAGCCATCGACAATGACACAAAAGTACCCCTGATGAGCCCATTAGGGTATAGTGCAATGGTTGCCTGCGCCTTAGGCAAGAGAAGGCATCAAGTGTAAAGGTGCAATTACATTCAATAGCCCGATAATAACACTCGGGGTCAAGTAATAACATGGTCAGAAAGATTCACAATAACATACAGTATCGACGAAAAACATTCGGTACCGATAAGGCACACAAAAAATTGCAAGGTTCAAGCAGGGCATGAGCCCAGAACTGCCCTCCCAAAGGCCATGTCAGGTGTATACCTGGTGTTCAGTCTGTAATGTGAAACAAATGTCTGAGGATTCTTCCAAATGGCCGCCTTGCAAATAGCGTCCAGGGGAATCCCCTTAAGAAAAGCCGTGGAGGCCGCCATAGCCCTGGTCGACCGAGCCCGGACGACCGAGGGGGGTTGTCTTCGAGCCAACTGGTAACAAAGCTCGATGGTCGAAGTGATCCAGTGCGACAAGCGTTGCGCCGTGATCGGCAGGCCCACCTTATCCGGGGCATATGCAGCAAAGAGTCTCTGAGTCCGTCGAGACTGAGCAGTCCTGTCCTTATAACACAGCAAAGCTCTCCGCACATCGAGCATATGAAGTCTCTTCTCCTCTGGGGTAGAGGGGAGCTGACAGAAGGATGGGAGGATAATGTCCTCATTAACATGGAAGGGGGACACAACCTTAGGGAGGAATGTCACATCTGTGCGGAGAACTGCTCTGTCCTCGTGGACAACAAAGTAAGGTTCGTCCACCCGCAATGCCGCGAGCTCCGACGGTCGTCGTGCCGAGGTGATAGCGACCAGAAAGGCCACCTTCCATGACAACAGCCGAAGATCGATCAACGCCAACAGCTCGAATGGTGGTTCTGCGAGCCGAGCCAGCACGAGGTCGAGGTCCCATCCCGGGGTCGGAGAACGAACCGGGGATGCAAGTTGTTGAAACCCCGTAAAAAGGATTTCACAGAGCTGTCCTTAAACAAGGAGGCTTCACCTGCCCGCTGCAGCTGTCGTGAGATGGCTGCCAGGTGGGACTTGAGAGACGATAGCGACAAACCTCGTTCGGTAAGATGCAGCAAGAACGAGAGGATCGTCGGTATCGAAGGCCGATGGTCGTCTAGGCCCTTCTCGGCGAGAAAAGCCTGGAAGCGGTTGAGGCACGCCGAGTAGCACTTCTTGGTTGCCGGTTTATGGGCTGCCTCCAGGATAGGAAGGACTCCTGGGCACAGGGCTCTTAAAACTGGATCCTCCACGCCGAAAGATGCAGAGAAGCGAGGTCGGGGTGGAGAAGCTGACCGTCCTCTCGGGAGAACAGATCCTGCCGAAGTGGAAGGCGTTTCATCCGCCCCTCGGACACCTGGAGTAGGACCGAGAACCACGGTTGTCTTGGCCATTCCGGCGCCACCAAGATGCAGTTCGTTTGCGCCGACTGGATCCTTTCGATCACCCTCGGGATGAGCGGGAAGGGAGGGAAGAGGTAGAGCAGATGCCTTGACCAGTCTAACAGGAACGCGTCTCCGAGGCATCCCGGTACCGTGTTCGGAGCAAGTCGAGCACCGAACTGAGGGAGCTGAGCGTTTTGCGGCGACGCGAAGAGATCTGCGACTGGAAGGCCCCACTCCTCGAAGATCTTTGCCAGCACATCGGGGTTCAACTTCCACTCGTGAGATGTTGCCCTGGTTCTGCTGAGTGCGTCGGCCTCGGTGTTGCTCTCGCCCGGGAGGTGCAGTGCTGTTATCGACACCGACCTGGCTACACACGAGTCCCAAAGCTCCATTGATAGCTTGAGGAGTTTTCTCGAGCCCGTTCCGCCCTGCTTGTTCACGTAGAACATTGCCACCATGTTGTCCGTGAGAATTTGGACGGACTTGCCGGTAACCAGGAGGGCAAATGCTCTCAGGGCCTTGAATATTGCCAGCAGTTCTAGGTAATTTATGTGGCATTGTCTTTCTTGTGGAGACCAGAGATCGTGAACCGAGAGGTCTCCTTTATGGCATCCCCATGCGAACATCGAGGCGTCCGTCGTGATCGTGACGGCCGGGGGCTCTGGGTGAAAGGGAATGCCCTTGCAGACATGCTGGCGGTTCATCCACCAGCTCAGAGAGTCCTTCACTGGCCTCGGTACCAGTAGGCGCTTCGTGGCACTGTCCCGCATGGGGTTGAAGTGGTCCAAGAACCATCTCTGGAGGGGGCGGAAGCGGAGTCTTGCCAACGGTGTCACCATCACCGTGGAGGCCATGTGTCCGAGGAGAACTTGTATCTGTTTGGCCGAGGTCACCCGAGAGCGACGGACCTTGAGTGCCTCGGCTCGAAGAGCTCTGAATCTCTCCTCTGGGAGGGAAACTGTCTGGGAGAGAGAATCGAACATGGCGCCGATGAATTTTATGCAAGTGGTGGGTTCGAGATGGGATTTTTCCTCGTTCAACTGGAGGCCCAGGTCTTCGAGGAGGGAAAGCGTCCTTGCCACCTGAACTCTCAGGAGGTCCGGGGAGCGTGCTGCCAACAACCAGTCGTCTAGGTAAGGGAAAATGCGAATCTTTTCCCTTCTGAGGGCTGCTGCGACCACCGACATGCATTTGGTGAAGGTCCTCGGTGCCGTCACGAGACCGAAGGGAAGGACATCGAAATTGTATGACTGTCCCGCTACCCTGAAGGCCAGGAAGCGCCTGTGATGTCTCCTGACTGACAGATGAAAGTAAGCGTCCCGGAGATCGACGGACGCGAAGAAGTCCCCGTATCTGAGGAGAGGAAGAATGGACGATACCGTCACCATCCGAAACTTTTGGGGTTCGATGAAAAAGTTTAAGTCTCTGAGGTCGAGGATGGGGCGGAGGGAGCCATCCGGCTTTGGGACAGTAAAGTATCTGGAGA